GGCCTTTTTCTTGGGTTTACGCTGTTTTGTGGCCTTTGGTTTGACCTCCTCTTTTCGCTTCTGTTTCTTTGGTTTTAGACTACCGGGTGACCTTAACGTCGCACCTTAACTGCTACCATCGCGCGCTTAAGGTCCGCGGTTGCGCGCTTAAGGTCCGCGGTTAAGGCTTCTTTGCTTTACCTTGCCTTTATCTAGCCATTGGGTCTATTTATTAACAACGCAAATACGACACGCTACGAGAGGCCTCCGCTGGAGTCTTTTGCTGCGCTTGACTGACTTGAGCTTTAATCCACTCGCATCTGAAAAAGCTGCGTACGTTCGGAAAACTGAAGCGACTTACAAGACGCGTCTATGGCCATGCGAGGATTCAGACCGGGCAGGGCTGCACTTTGCACTTTAACCTGAAACTCAGAAAGACGATTATATCGTTTTCGGTGTCATCGACTTACCGTTAATTCTCTCTCTTGCGCTTGGCGTTCTCTCTACGCCATCGATTTTTCTGGCGATCTCTTTTCTCGGACTCGTATTCTTCCAATAACCGGAGCTCATCCACGAGGGGACAAAATATATTTTGCGTGTATCCACCATCCTCCTTGAGAACTTTGAATTGACGATGAGGATAGAAGACGCCTGATAGCTCGAGTTCGCAGCTATAAGGCCTCCTGCACTTGCTGCAGCTGCGACCTTTGTTACTGCTGACATCTCCGATGATTGTGGCACCCGCCGCCGCCTTCTCAGCAATCTTCTTTTCTACCATCTCCCGTTCTTCTGCCAGCTTCAGCCGCGCAGCAACCTCTTCTGCCACATTCCGATCGGGACAGCGGCCGAAAGGACTACCATCGGGAATGTGGTACCCATTCAGTGCCTTCCTCAGGGGTCTGCCGCACCAAGTACAAGTTCTCAAAGCCTTATTATTCCCTCCCGCTATTGAAGTCTCCACCGGTTCACCATCGCCTCCGTCTCCCATCTCGTCGAAATCGTTCTCGGTCACCCCTTGGTCGGACAATGGGGATGGCTCTCCACTTTCTCCCTCATTCGTCTTTTTTGGAAGCCCACGACCAATTTCTTCAAGAATATCAGTCTGCTGAATGGGCTCCGGCCCTTTAGCAGACGAATTGGCTTGCTGGATAGGGATAGAGGCATGCTCCACTACTGCTTCTCCTTTCCTAGGCTGGAGTGCGTCATCTAACTTCCTGAAGATGTCCATAGTTTCGCCATCGAAACTTCCCCACTCCCGCGCATATCCCGCTTCGCGCCGCCTACTCTTCAAAAACGCCTCCACATGAATAAGCGTAGTGGGGTGGTAACTGCGCGGCATTCTACCCTCATCGATCGCACTTTTGCGTTCCGCATGGAGGTATTTTTCATTGTAGAGCCCCAATAAGGTACAACCATCAGCTTTTGGATGAAGTCTGATGAGATCGTTGAAAGCAGCGGACATCACTGAATGATCTTGAATAGGATAGACACACGCAGTACCGGCTTTCGCCTTCAGATCTTGGAAACGCCGTCTCTTCTCCTTCTTTGGCAAGAGAGGTGTATCTTCTTTGTCCCCGGATGTATCAGGGACTGACCCATCCGATGGACAATCCAAATCGGAGCCTTCACTCTCATCATCTGTAGCATCCTTCTCCTCCAAAGCGAATAAATCATCCGTCATAGTGGGCTCGTTGTCATCATCCAGGCTCTTCGCTAACTCTGAAGGATCTGCTTCAGGCTCGCTAAGATCCCCACCCGCACCCAACGAGAATGCATAGCCAAACCCTAGACGTGGCAAAGTTGCGTCCTCCGGCGCTAGCCTGAAATCAGCAAATTCCCCGCCAAGCCCTCCAGCAGCGACCCGAGGAACCACATATTCATCGGGCAGCGATTGGCCTTGACGTATTCGCTTGCGCCGATTCATACGATGAACTTGTAAGTAGAGTCGCATATCCCACAAGGCAGACGATATCCGAGTCCATGACTGGAAGCTTTTGGCCAACAAGCTGTGCGTCGTTTCGCACTTCGAGGTCCCCCTTGCACTTTGAAATGTAGATAAGCACAGGGTAGGGCTATTTCTGTAGCGAGCCGTGCCAGTACGGTAAATCCCTTCAAAGGGGTAGGCGTCACTCACGCAATTTCCCCGAACATGTCGCATCTGGTTTTGGAAGGTGTTCTCGAACTCGGGGAGCAGCAGCAACTCCCAGCGGGAACCCACAGGAGGCAGCACCGAGTTGAACTTGGGATCATCAACGCCCTCTTTGATCTTGCTCACGCGCAGCAGAGTCCACTCACGCAAACATTTCACATCAATGCTGCGATAGGATTCATAAACATGACGAAGCCTTTCCTCTAATATTTTGGCTGGTGGTATAGTTCTTCTTACGTATAACCGGAGGTCCTCCTTCGACAAGCTCGGGGACATGCCGAGGGACAGTCTCGCCGCTTTCACCACCTCAATGTCCTCATTGCATGACAAGTACGTGGCCTTGGAGAGGTCTTTGCATAGCCTCTTATATAAGCTATGCCCGCGATTCGCGGAACGAGTGATCCTCATCAGCATGTGAAGACCATCTAGACGCACACGGAGAGGTCTCTCCGGACCAAGGATATTTTTCAGTGTATCTTGACCACAACATCCACAATCGGAAAAAATCACTTCAACAGGTGCCATTCCGAGGCGGATATTCCTCCCAACCACCTCAAAAAGTGCTTCGCGAGCATACTGGAAGCTTGTCGATGGAGTGACAAAGACTCCTAAGGTGAGATTAGCTTCGGACACCACCGAAAGGCATTGACTTGCAACTTTACCATCAATAGACTTTTTGGATACCTGCCGTTGAAAATCAACGGAGATGGATCTCCCCGGAGGAATAGATGCTAGTTCTCTGCGATAGTATGGTAGATTCAGGGAGTGGTCTCGAAGAAGCGTCGACACAGCAAACTTATATCCTATTTCTATGTTCTCGATGCTCGGAATGTCATCAACTGGGAGTGCATCGGCCGGCGCCGTTAGGAATGGACTGGCAAGGGATTGCTGCCAGCACCTCAATAGAATAGATTTTCTCAAGCCATGCTCTGCTCGTAGCTGAGCATTGACCTGGGATACTGTCTGGCTGATAGAGCCATTGCACATCAGAGCACTCCTGAAGGTCGCTACGAGGCTCACATCCATAGCACGTCCCTTGCCAGCTATGAAGGGACACTGTAACTGCACTGATAGAGGTAAGGTTTGTAGATATGCGACATCCCAACCATAGAAGGAGCGACGACACGCGCCACACGATATGCGTGGAGTGACACACAAATAAGGATAAGGTAAGCATACCACCATCTTTGGTATGCTGCACTTTGAGAGAACGGTTATATTACATGAGGCGCATGCAATACAACGCCCAGAGGGCGGATTCCAAATACAACAATCCATTGCATAGACACCAGCCGGAGCGGGAAACGCAGTGGACTGTACATATTGCCTCCAAGGAGTATTGCACAACCATGTAACAGTATCGACCCTCCCTAACTCGGTCAATGATTTAGGTGGCTTAACAAGTTTTAGCGGTATACGGCAGTTATCAAGGATAGACTGAGGCTCATCCACGCCTGATAGAGTATATAGCCCCCAACATCATCCCCCGCCCGCTAATACCATTAGCCCCGGATCCTTTCTGCACACAGCTGCCTTGATAAGATGAGGACTCCCCAACGCCTGAAATACCATATAATCCCCGGTGCTATCTTCCCACAATTTTACCACTCGTGACGGATCCTTTCTGCACACAGCTGCCTTGATGAGATGAGGACTCCCCAACGCCTGAAATACCATATAATCCCCGGTGCTATCTTCCCACAATTTTACCACTCGTGACGGATCCTTTCTGCACACAGCTGCCTTGATGAGATGAGGACTCCCCAACGCCTGAAATACCATATAATCCCCGGTGCTATCTTCCCACAATTTTACCACTCGTGACGGATCCTTTCTGCACACAGCTGCCTTGATGAGATGAGGACTCCCCAACGCCTGAAATACCATATAATCCCCGGTGCTATCTTCCCACAATCTTACCACTCGTGACGGATCCTTTCTGCACACAGCTGCCTTGATGAGATGAGGACTCCCCAACGCCTGAAATACCATATAATCCCCGGTGCTATCTTCCCACAATTTTACCACTCGTGACGGATCCTTTCTGCACACAGCTGCCTTGATGAGATGAGGACTCCCCAACGCCTGAAATACCATATAATCCCCGGTGCTATCTTCCCACAATTTTACCACTCGTGACGGATCCTTTCTGCACACAGCTGCCTTGATGAGATGAGGACTCCCCAACGCCTGAAATACCATATAATCCCCGGTGCTATCTTCCCACAATTTTACCACTCGTGACGGATCCTTTCTGCACACAGCTGCCTTGATGAGATGAGGACTCCCCAACGCCTGAAATACCATATCCACATATATATGATCCCACAATCATACCAGAAGAGTCGCATCCTTGAAATTGGGATTCGGTCATACCTAAAATAGCATCATCGCCATCATCGACTTCCCCGATAGTACCACTAGTCGTAGACTCTGGAGATGGTGAAGCTTGGTGACTTTCTCCTTTTTCGAGGCCACTATTGATCTTACCAAGCGGGTGAATACTCTTTCCACCCATAAGATTCCGGAATTTGGCAGCAGACTCTCTTCTCCGGATCTCTAGTATCCGATCTTTCTCTGCCGCCACCTCTTCAGGAAGTCTTCCAGACCTTCCTATAGTCCATGATCCTGTTCTTCTTAACCGGTCCAATGCATCTCGGTATAAGGGTTGTAATAGTGGTCGCTGAACCCTCTTATGAGAATGCCGGTTCGACATGTGTTGGGCAGGAATAACAACAAATGGTTGTCAACAATGGCAGCATCAAATTGAGCAGATTTCAAAGTGAGGGCGCGCCCATTTGCGCGTGCGTGCAAGACCTTTCTTTTCTTTTCTTTTCTTTTCTTCTTTTCTTTCCCCCGCCGTGGCAAAATTTTCCCCCAAGCCGTTCGACATGTGTTGGGCAGGAATAACAACAAATGGTTGTCAACAATGGCAGCATCAAATTGAGCAGATTTCAAAGTGAGGGCGCGCCCATTTGCGCGTGCGTGCAAGACCTTTCTTTTCTTTTCTTTTCTTTTCTTCTTTTCTTTCCCCCGCCGTGGCAAAATTTTCCCCCAAGCCTAGCTCAGTCGGTTAGAGCATCGTGCTAATAACGCGAGGGTCGCAGGTTCGAGCCCTGCATCGACCACTAGTTTGGCTTACTCATTGCACTATCAAAGTGATTAAGTTCACATCAACTTTTTACTCGCTTTGTAAGAAATCCATTCGTGTGAAATTCCTGACCTGCGTTGAGCGTTCGGCTTCTGAAATGCAATCGACTCAATTCCGAGCTCTTTGCTCGATTGCCAGACTCCTCTTACCCTGCCCAATGTGGGCTGTTGTTCGTAGAGTTCGAGGTCGCCTCGTGCAAAGGAAATCCGCGTGAAGTTCACGAAGAATTCTGTTCCTGTGTACCCTTGATGATGCCAGCCACAAATTAACTACAACTGAAAACTGCATTGAGGAGATGTGTTGGGAAAGATCACTGTTGGTGACTGGTGACACCGGGAGTTGTACAAAAGAATATAAACTATCACTCTTCCTCTCATTCACAGGCCACTGTGTCACCAATCACAACCTCGGAGGTTTCTCTGCACCGATCTGTCAAAACATCCAGCTGACAACGGTTGCCCGCCGAAAGCCGTGGTAGATAACAATAGAGAATGGTCATGTTATGAGCGACGTTCGGGAACCAACTTGTGAGGCTTAATGGTATGATGGCTGTGTGGTCTAGTGGTATGATTCTCGCTTCGGGTGCGAGAGGTCTCGAGTTCGATTCTCGACTCAGCCCTCGTAAGGGTGAGTTTGGGCACAGTGGTAGATGCGGCTGGAGGATGTAGATAGCTACGGAAACCAGGTAGTGCAAATCCCTCCGGAAGCTAGGCAAACTGGACCATATGCGAACCGTTGGTCACTGGGAAATGGTATAGCTGGTCGAGACGCATGAAGCACTCGAGTGCTCGATCCCGCACCCCTGGACAAAGATTACAGTCAACTGGTGAACTCATTACTCGCGCGACTAATAGTTCAGGCTACATCCTGTACGGGCTCAATCCGTCCAACAGTGCACATGGGGTGAGGGGAACGAGCACGATGAAGGGGCAGTGAAGCCGTTAATCAGAGGATGTTGTGGCTGTTAATCTTGAGTACGCCTGAGTATATAGAGCAGATAGAGCAAAAAACTTTTTACACTTCTCGATTTGTGCGTGTCATCCTTGCGCAGGGGCCATGCTAATCTTCTCTGTATCGTTCCAATTTTATCGGATACCCCCGAGGGGGTCCATCGAAATATAGCGTGCATAAAGTGCTATTCTCTGATTTCAAGTACGTTCCGATTGGTGTGGTATGAGTCAAATTATCTATCAGTGAATTCCCTGCGCATCACGGGTGAATTTCGTTGTCACGGGTGAACTTCGATGTTGAGTTGGTCGTTTAGCTCAGTCGGTTAGAGCATCGTGCTAATAACGCGAGGGTCGCAGGTTCGAGCCCTGCATCGACCACTAGTTTGGCTTACTCATTGCACTATCAAAGTGATTAAGTTCACATCAACTTTTTACTCGCTTTGTAAGAAATCCATTCGTGTGAAATTCCTGACCTGCGTTGAGCGTTCGGCTTCTGAAATGCAATCGACTCAATTCCGAGCTCTTTGCTCGATTGCCAGACTCCTCTTACCCTGCCCAATGTGGGCTGTTGTTCGTAGAGTTCGAGGTCGCCTCGTGCAAAGGAAATCCGCGTGAAGTTCACGAAGAATTCTGTTCCTGTGTACCCTTGATGATGCCAGCCACAAATTAACTAC